ACCATGCTGTCCATCAAAAGAGGACTGGATTAAAAAAATGTGGTACATATACACAATGGAATACTATGCAGCCATAAAAAAGAACAAAATCATGAATTTCGCTGCAACCTGGATGGAACTAGAGTCTATAATACTGAGTGACCTCTCACATAAACAAAAATCCGAATATCACATGTTCTCACTCATATAATGGACCTTGAACATCCAATGCAATACTATGAGAAAATGACGGATGGTACTGGGAAACTATGGGGGGGGAGGGGGATGGGATTAACAGTAGCAAATATCTGTCGGGGGATGGGAAAACACTTTTTATTTACAGGGTGCCTGAATGAAACGTCATTGTACACCTAACCCTTAACTGTACCCCACAAAACCATAATAAAAAATACTGATTAATGAAAAAAAAAAAAAAAGAAAATCCTTGTCAGTGGGATCATCAGGAACGAAGACTTTTACTCTACTTGAACTGAGCAGGTTAGTCTATGTGTCACGGCCTCTTGTTCCCTAGCACAGTGATAGTCACTTGTTTGTTGATACTACGTTGAGCAAGTACATAGTCCACATTGAACTGCCTTTTAGCCATTAGTTCTCTGCCACCTTGGCAGGAGTGGCTCTGTCCTTATTCTTCATTATGAGTCTGTGTGACTTTTGACTCTAGAATGTCTCTCATTTTGAGTAGTAGTTACTGCTCTGCCCTCTTAGCTGTCTGGACACATCCTCACTTTTCATAAATGTACAATATTCAGTCTAGATGCTTTTTCTTTGTTGAGGATGAAGGCAGTGGAGGAGGAAGGACAGTTGATAAAAGGAGTAAGGATAACCCAACACAATCATTGAAAGTTTGCCCTTATCCTTCAGAGCTGGAGTCTTCAAGAAGCACACATGCCAGTGCTGCTTTTGAGTGATTTTAAAAGACTGAGGTGTCATTTGCCTGTTTTGTAGCCTGTGCTGTGGTTGACTTTTCTACAGCACCTACAACTGGTGGGGAACTTGAAACATTGCAGTTTTTTCGTTCGTTCGTTCCTTCCTTTCCTCCCTCCTTCCTTCCTTCCTTCCTTCCCTCCCTCCCTCTCTCTCTTCCCCACTCCCTCCCTCCATTCCTTCCTCCCTCCCTCCCTCCCTTCTTTCCTTCCTTCTTTTTTGCTGGTTTGTTATACAGGATATTAGGAAAGATACATAGGAAGAGATGGGTGTAGGGTAAGGTATGGGGGAAGGAGTGCTGAGCTTCTCTGCCCTCCCTGGGTTGCTCCTTCCGGGAACTTTATAGTGTTCAGCTATCTGGAAACTCTCCAGACCCAGTCCTCTTGGGTTTTTATGGAAGTTTTGTGACCTTAGCCTTCCTTCCTCCAGGGTATAAGATGGGACTCTCTCTGGGGGGGTGCGGGGGTGGTCTGAAGACCCACCATCAAAATAGAGGGGAGGACTAAAGTCCTGCCTTGGGGCAGGTGAAAGTTTGGCAAGAGAAGATCAGAGATTCTGTTTTCAGAGGCCAGTCCCTGAGGCCTAACATAGGCAGCATTGTAACAAAAGACTGTAACAAGGGCTATGGAGGTTATGAGCCAGGAATCATGGATGAAAACCAATGTGTAAATACAGAGGGTGCCCCCAAAAATGTATACACGTTTTAAGAAAGGGAAAAACTGTATTAAAATTGTAATACTCAATAATATGAATACAAGTCACGTTTGACTTCTGCGTTTACAAGAGGTGCTCAAAGTGGTTACCATCTTTCTAGGTACCATGAAGGAATACTGTCAATATTGTCAGGTTCCCAAACCAGGAGGAGTCATCACAGTTTCTAATGAGAAACCTGTTTAGTGACACAACGAGCCAGAGAGGTGAAGGTAAAGAAGAGGAGAGAAATCTGTGCTTTTTGTATCTTGTAGCACGTGCTGTGGACAGATAGACTTTAGTCATTGATTCTTAGTTATTTCACTGCTGTCTCCAGAGACTCAAGCTGCAGCTATTAGGAAAAAAGGGTGCTTTGCTCAGCACTTGTTTCTTAAGGAATAGCTGTCTTTCCTAGAAAGTACGTATGCACAGTCTGTGAGGTGTACAAGGTGTTATGATCTTTAGCTACTTACACCGACTCCCTTAGTTCTTATACCAGCAACCCTGAGGGGAGGTGGCCAGGGCTGGAATGTAGGTATTTCATAGGGGAGAAAGCAAAGGATATGAAGCCTGCTGCCAGGTGGTGGAAAAATGTCTTTGAACTCACCCTCCCCACCCCTCCTGTTTTCCCTCCCCCTTGCTCTCCCTCTCTCTGCCCTTTAAGTTAAAATTTGACTTATTATTGAGGCACTGCCTAACCAGTAGATTCCTAATAACCAAGGAGACCTAGTAGGTTCTAGTCCCACCTCTGCATTGACATGCTGTGTCTGCTGCCTGTTCTAGCTGACCTTGGGCAAGGCATTTATCCTTTGGAGGCTCCATTGCCATGATCTGTCATGGGAAGGTTTTGGGTAAGGTAGTACTGTTTCACAATGGATAAGTTAACTCTCAGGAGTAGGAAAGATAACGTACATTTTAAATGAATAAGGTGTTTAGGCAATTTTTCTGCCAGGAGTTTGCACATAGATTTTCTTGGCTCACTTTAGTAAGGTAAGATTTTGTTGTGTCCTTGATGACAAGACAACACCAAGTTTCTGGGTTTTTCCTCTCTCTTTCAGATGCCAGTATGGACAGAATAGCTTATGATGCTTATCCCCACTTACCACTTTCGAGACATTGAGCGGAAACCAGAATACCTCCAGCCGGAGAAGTGCATCCCACCTCCCTACCCTGGTCCTGTGGGAACCATGTGGTTTATCCGTGACGGCTGTGGCATTGCCTGTGCCATTGTCACTTGGTTTCTGGTCCTCTATGCTGAGTTTGTGGTCCTCTTTGTCATGCTGATTCCATCTCGAGACTACGTATACAGCATCATCAATGGAACTATGTTCAACCTGCTGGCCTTCTTGGCCCTGGCTTCCCACTGCCGGGCCATGCTGACGGACCCCGTGAGTATGTCTGGGCTTGTTTTGACCAGCCCGCACTCTCCTCCTCTGGCCCTGGCATGGCCGTAACCTGCATGCTCTCCCTAGACCTTGGGAATATAAAGATCAGGAGGGCCAGGGCAGGGTGGGGAAGCACCTGCCATCCCCCTTTATACAGAGTTCTATGGAATTCAGACTAGGGAAGAGGGGCCAACCTCTGTATAACAATCAATTGTCTTGCTGAAATGATACTCTGTTTACATTGATGTATTCATTAATTGGACCTGCTGCGGGAGGGGCTTGGCCTGGGGGAAACTTAGTCTCTGGTTAGAAAGCGCAAGCAGATAACCTTGGTGCTAGAGACCAGATTATCTTAGCAGAAAGCATGCTAGAGGGTTGGGGCAGGATGGGGTTTCCCAGTACAGGTAGGGCTAGAGCGAGGTGGATTTGAAATTAAAGCCACATCCAATTCCAGGAACCTGCACGGAAATGGTCTTCACTTTGCTTGGGCGAGGTGCATCTTTTCCTGAAAAGCTGGACAAGCCTGTTTCAGGCCGCAGCAAGTGCCTCTTGGTGAATATCTGTGGGTAAAGCAGTGGTGTTCTGCTCAACGACTTTGCTAAATATACCAAGCTGTGCACGTGGCTATTGAATGTTTGTGCACCCTGGTATTAAACCCTCTGTTCCTGTTCATTCTCTTGTATGGAAGAAGCAAGAGAGTATGTTCTTTGCTAAAGACCTTCTGTGGCTTGTTGCAGTGCGTGGGACGTGTGTGTTTACATGAAGAGATGGAGAGCACTGCTACTAAAAGTGACACTGGCCACACAGATTTCGTTTCTGTGAGCCTCAGGGAAAGCGCAGTGAAGATGATGGGGGCCTGAACCAGTTTCCAGCTTGAGGGCTCCATTTCCTGCTGGTTCAGGTGGTGGATTGCTAATCCATCCCAAGGGAAGGCAGCTTTCCCAGCTCAATTACATGTCCAAGACTGGTTCAGATGATGCCTCTCCTCATGCATGAGCCTCAGGCCTCTTGGCCCATTGTTAGTGCTGCTTGCGGGATCACTGAGTAGCACCACCTGAAGGAAACCAAGTGTTTGGGCATAATCCTCAGTGCCCTAAACACAAGGGTATAAAAAGACTTTTCCCAGCAGCATCAGTGTGGCCATACTGAAAGCAAGTTAAGTATTATTAGAAATGTTTATGATGTCCTTGCTATTGTGGATACAGAAGTAAAAGACATTATTTTGCTCACTTCGTAATTTAGTGTCTACTAAGCCCCAGACACTATTCTTACCCTCAGGGTGCCCTTGGTCTAGAGTAGACAGGTGAGGATAGCCCAGTATGATGAAGGCTGTGGCAGAAAGAACATGAATTGCTGTAGGAGAACAAGGGAGGGAACCTTCACCAATCTAGGTGGAGGTGACTGCTTGGGGGAGGTGATGCCCAAGCTAGCTCTTGTCAGAGCAGGGACATTGATGTTAAGGACAGAAAGACAGGCAGAGGGAGCAGTAAGCACAAAAACATGCGGGAGTGTGGCTACTCTAGTTTGAAGTGGTGGGAACTTAGGAGGAAATGAGTTTGGGTTGGTGATGTGGGTGGGATGCCAAAGGAGGATAGGAGTTGGATAATGAGGGGCAATCTAGAACCCCTGAGGATTTTAAACAAACTGTCATTTTACAAGGATCACCCTGGCAATAGTGTGGAGGACTATAGTGTGGAGGAATAGCACTGGTGGGGGAATAAAGTGAATGACCATGTTTATTGAGTGCCTACTCGGTGAAAGGTTTCTTTCTAAGCGATGGGTACAGTTATGAACAAGTCAGACAAAAATCCCTGCCTTATTGAAGCTCACATTCCAGTAGTGGGGTCAGGCCATACAAACATGATTGAACAAGGTATTTTAGAAAGTGGTAAGTGCTTTAAAGACAGTAAAACAATGTGATGGGGTGATGTGATAGTGACTTTCCTGGGGCAAAGGGGGACCACTTTAGATCAGGGTGATCTGAGAAGGCCTCTCTGAAGTGCTATCTTTTGAACTGACCTGAATGAAACAAAGCTACAAGCCCAACAAATCAAGATCCGAGGGCAGAGGAGAGAGTAAGTACAAAGGCCCAGAGACAGGCACACACTTAGCATGAGCGAGAAACAGGACTAAACCAGGCTACCGAAGCATAATGAGGGTGGGGACAAGAGGGGCTGGAAGAGACAGAGAGAGCCTTAGAGTCTGGATTGTGCAGGGCTTCGTAGGCCTCTTGTGAACTTTGGATTTTATTCTTGGTGCAGTGGGAAGCCATCTGAGAGGCAGCATGTGATCGAATTTGCATTGTGCTTGCAGTGGAGGTGCTGCAAATAGGAGGGGGAGTAGAGGTAATGCAAGGGTCCAGACCAGACATGGTGGCAACAGAGAGAAGCTGTTGGATCTGGAGTTTATTTTAAGCCACTAGTTTTCAAGCCTGGCTGCACCAGAGAATCCCTTGGAAAGCTTTTAAAAAGTTCTGGTGCCTGGGCCCCACCCCCAGAGACTCTCTAATCGGCCTGGGGGCAGGGCCCTGGGTATTGGGATGCTTTAGAGCTCCCACGTTTCCCTCCTGTTCAGCCAGGCCTGAGAACTGCAGTTCAGAGAGCTGGCATTGGAGAGGGAGGCAAGGGTGTGTTCTCCAGAGTCTTGGCTGGAGCAGCTGGGGGATTGCTAGGGACTTTTATGAATGGGAAAGTCCGGGAAGGAATTAATTTTGGAGGAGAAATCAAGGCTTGTATTCTGGCCAAACTGCTACTGTGTTTCATGCTAGTCCGGGAAGGAATTAATTTTGGAGGAGAAATCAAGGCTTGTATTCTGGCCAAACTGCTACTGTGTTTCATGCTAGCAGTGGACAGTAGATCGTTAGTCTGGAGCTGCTGGAGGGTCAGGATCAGAGAGTGGAATGTGGAGGTCATTGGTTTATACAAGGCATGTGAAAATAGGGACCCAGATGGGATGGTGGGAGAGGAGGCTTCCTCCCTGGCATTCCTGCTGCCCTCACATGCATGTGTTCCTTTACACATTGCATTGACACATGCATCCTCTCCAGGGACCTGAGCAGTCTGGCCCTTAGTGGGTGCAGGAGAGCACAGTTCTCACTGGTATGTTGCTCGGTATATTGCTCGGCTTCTGATCACAAGTGGGAGAGAGCCACAGATTGTATCCCAAATAGCAATTAGTTTCTCATACGTGTATTTGGCTGGTAGTCCTAAAGAAAACTTGACCTAAAAACTGAAGAATTTGCCAAATATCTATCATTAGTAAGGCAAGCAACTCCAAGTGTGTCCTTCAGATATGCTCTTTTTCAGGATCTTTCGGCCACCACCTGCCTCTCCCTACCCCCAGCACATGACATCTCTTGTAAAACCCAGTATGTAAAACAGAAGTGGAGCTGCAGAGGCAGAGGCTCCCGGGGCACTGCTGGGACAACCTGGGCTTCCAGGGGCAGGATTGGAAGCCCAGATCTCAGTAGATCAGTTAGGGGTTCCTTATTTATACTGCAGGGGGAGTCTGTTTTCAGAAAGAGGTCACTGCAGTGTTCTAAGGAATTCTCTAATGGGATTATAATGTTTTGTATCTCAAGAATTCATTCGTATGATTCCAAATGGGATTATAATGTTTTGTATCTCAAGAATTCATCCATAATGTTTCAGAACAGTTTATATCCAAAGGTTATAGACAGTGCGTACGTTGTGCATCATTTTGGTTTGTTAGCAGTACTATTTTAAAAACTCTTTTATGGTCTCCCCCCAGCTGTGTGACTCTCAGCTTTGAAATTCTTGTTCCAAATGTGGCATCTGGATAATTGCAAGCACCAAGCCGTCTGGACGATTTAGCAGTCATTTACTGCAGTGCAGCAGTAGACAGGTGCACATAGGACTTGAGCAGAACAGGGAAGAGGGAAATGACTCACAGATGTGTGAGCAGCCCCCTCAGGTGAGACTGCCATTTGAGAAATAGGGTAAAGGGGCAGGCCTATAAACAGAGGGGAGAGGCAAATGAACAGAGGAGCAGGGCAAGCGCCTTGTTGGCTGGCAGTCTGGCCTGGAGGCAGTATGTGCATGGGTGGGAGCCAGTCAGGCTGGTATTTGATCTCCCGGTGCCCTCCTCTTGCCCACTCTGAGGTTGTGCAATATCATCAAAGGAGTTTTCTGTGTTCCTGGAGCACTTCAGGTGTGTAGAGGTCCAAAATGGCTCCACTTGTCCTGTAGAGGCAGTCTCTTGAAGACTACCTGGACTTAGAAACTCTTACTTTGGTACCCCTCTCTGTCCCTCCTCTCTCCCAGTTCTACCATCTTTTCTTTTCCAGATACAAAAACATTTTAATTCCTCACCCTGTGAACTACCTCAGGACCCCTGAGGGGATTCTTTAGATCTGGGATGATGTCTGTCTCCCAGAAGATGCTTAGAGCTCTGACAGACAGAGCTCATCTCTTTTTGTCCTGGTTGCCAGAAAGCTCAAAGCCAAGTGTTGCACAATCACAGCAGTTGCATAAACCCTTGTGGTCAGCATATTTTTGCCCCTCCTTTCCTTGGATCTTATCATTTATTAGCTTTATAAATTATTTCAAATGTGAAACTTGAGAAAAGGCAGAATATACAGAATATACAGTAATGTATCATTTAACAATGGTGATAAGTTCTGAGAAATGTGTCTTTAGGCAGTTTTGTTATTGTGTCAACATCATAGAGTATCCTTACACAGCCCTACATGGTCTAGCCTATGTGGTATAACCTATTGCTCCTAGGCTACAAATCTGTACAGCTTGCTACTATACTGAATACTGTAGGCAATTGTAATGCAGTGGTGTTTGTCAAAACATATCCAAACATAGAAAAGGTACAGTAAAAGTGTGGTATTACAATCTTAAAGGACTACTAACATACTAATGTGTGTACTAATGTACACATGGCCCATCATTGACCAAAACGTCATTATGTGGCACATGACTATAAATCCATTCAATTTAGCCACATTGTGAACCACATTGTGAAAGAAAAGAAAATGCATCTGTTGCCTGCCACTGTCTCCCTCCCTTTGAAGCCCACTCTGTGAACACCTCGCTATAAACACCTCCATGACTATCTCAGACCACTGCAGCCCACTGATTTTAGTTTCATCTGCAAAAAATTATGAGTAACAATGTTGGGGCTCCCTTCAGATGTGCAGTTGGTATTCCCTTCTGGAATCTCTCTCAGCAGCCTTATTTAGCACACCCTGTATACAGTATTTCCTGGAAGGGTAGCATGGCAATATGATGTCAGTCTATTCAAGGAGAAATAGTGCTGGGTCCTCCCACAGCAGCCTGCCAGAGAATGGCCTTGCTCCTCTTGCCCACAGGTATTAGCACGTTCACTGCTCAGGTCAGGGGACTTGCCTGAGGGCTCACTGGAGTAGCATGCTGCATTCTGCCTCAGCCAAGCAACTTCTCACACCTGCCACTGAACAACTTATAAATGCCAACGAGAAAAATCTTTCTGGCTCCAGAGAAAAGAAGTGGTCCATCTGGGGACCACCTACCTACTACCTTTCTGTGGAGAAAACAGGTGGCCCT